GAAAGAGAGGGACAGAGCGAGAAATAGCACATTCGGAGCCAAGCTGGCCACCCAAACACCCATCCTGCACCCTCAAAACTCAGGACAGCGGACGGAGGCTGACGCTTGCCAGCATTTTTTACTATGCCGCTATGAGAGCGGTCACCCAGCTTTTCAAACCCAGCTTTCTTCTTCATCAGTCCCAAGGATGAAGCTCCTTGGTGGGTCTCATCTTCGAGACCCTCCACAGCAGGAGCGAACAGCTCAAACAAAACTCACTCCAGCGATGTTTTACATACAGGGTAGTTTAAGTTTTATGCTCAAGCCCAGTGAAATTTTTGTGTTTCAACTTGGTAACTTCATGTAAATCTTTCCAGACATGCTTCAAAAGAGCCTTTGCTTCCTAGTGCAGAACCAAACTGTGTTTTCCCTGATCCTGTATTTGCAAAAATAAACCTTTAAATTCCAAAAGAACAGATGCCTCTGACACGAAACCTGATACTCCGATCATCTTTAACACCAGACCGCAAATCTTGTGAAAGGTAGCTTTGGTAAGGGGCTCCAGCTCGCTGCATACACTGAAAAATCCTGGGACAAACCACACGTCGCTCGCGATCATTAAGCCAAGATGTTTGGCTAGCGCAAGGTACAGTAGTTTTCCACTAGAAAGGAAAGCTAAGCATATATGCAATTTGGGCAATGCCTTTCAGGAAGAAAATTAAAAGGAGGCTCAATTCCTTCGAGAAATAATTATTGTCGCTTGGTATCGAGTTTATTCTGATCACTGTAGAGCAGGCGACCTTGTTTGGCCATAGGAGAACCTGCCTATGGCAAACAGACCAGCGTTATCTATCGGACCAACTCCTTCCCAAGAGCAGGAACCACCAAATGACTTCTTGCAATCCCTGTTCCTAAATTTCTACGGCTATGCAAACACAGTAACCTAGTAACCCTTTTTCAAGAGCACCGAGATGGATACAGAATTGTTGTATAATAAATACAAACAAATACATAGAATCATAGAATCGTTTAGGTTGGAAAAGCCCTTTAAGATCATCCAGTCCAACCATTAACCTACACTACCAAGTCTACTCTAAGCCAATCAAGGGTAGACCAGACTGAACCATGTCCCTGAGTGCCACCTCTGCCCATTTTTTGAACACTTCCAGGGATGGGGACTCCACCACCTCTCTGGGCAGCCTAT